GCCGCTCTACGCCGCTGTTCGTAGTGGCCATGAGGAAGCCGTCAGTCGCTTGCTGTCAGGCTCCTTCGTTAAACGGGCCTTTACCCTAAGGCCCCAAAGTAGTTCCTTTTTGGACTCCAAAGAGGTAATCCCAATAAGGATCTACTATGGGGCCTTAGGATAGAAAGGGCGAGGTAAAGAGCTAATTACGTGCAAGGTTCGCGGATGCGTCTATGCGGGAATTCATTTAACCAACCTCGTCCTGCCTTAGAGACTTCCGGGGCTCTCGTGCTAGATGGTTTTTTGTACAACTACCAAGTATACGAGATGCTTTAAATGGGGTCGGAGTCACCGTCACCTCATTCACATCTCAGACGCGAGCCCTTCCTGGAGGCAATGCCAATCCCAACCACTCCGCAGCGCTCCGGGGTCCCTCGCCGATGCGGGCCGCTGTGCTCAATGGCCACACCGAGGCCCGGGTTCTGGGCTGACAGGGTTTAGGGTTTAGGGTTTAGAGTGGCCTTGAGGGGTGGCTGCAAGGGTTCGTCTCATTCTCATGAGATCCAGGGTTGGAGTGTTACTTGACATTGCTGCGTATGTTCTCAGACTTTGTTGCGATGCAACTCGTGTGAGAGGTATATCGGTGTGCTCTATCAAGATTCTAAGATGCAAAAATCATTTCGTTAATGCTATGCATTTTGGTTACGCTGTTTTCATCGCCGGGGTTTATTGGCCACGGCATGTCTTTAGAAGGACAATCACGAAGGGGCTGTTACCACGTGAATCCATGTTGGTAATTACAGTCTGCCTCTTTGTGAGAGTGTATTGTTTTGTGCATATCACACCATTTTGGTTTAGTTTTGGTATGGTAGAAACCCGAATCTGGAAGACGGCAGTTGGAACGGTTGGTGCAGCCGCCCGCGCGCTTTGGTTAAGTCCATCTTCTAAGCTATCGGCTGGACCTGCCCTTTCCATGCCTTTCCGTAATATAATCAACCCTCAAAGCACGAGAGTCCTCGAGGCGTGGGTTCTGCTCCCCACAAAGGCCCAGACTAGACCACACCAAGCACCAAAGTTGGAAGATAGTGTGCTGTTGTGCAACTTCCAAGTACGCCTGCAAGCGTAGTGTATACAAGTACACCTATAGTTGTCGAGCGCGTGTGGTCTTTCCTTAGTTTCGTTTCGCTACTACATGCTCAACGTCTCAAAGTCCTGTATTCGGTAACTTGCTATACAAGACACATGATGTTGCACTGTTTAATTCTTGATTGTGGTTTATGGTCTTGAAGGTGCAGCTTCCCCCCCTCACACATATGTAACCACTCACTTTCTTCTGTTTCTCCACTCGACCCAGAACCCTCCCGGAAGGTGATGGGGCGATTGATCTCTGGCGGGGCAACGGTGAATCCGGACGATGTCTGGAACTCGAGCTCAGGGTTAAGGGTCTGGGGCGACTGCTGTAAACACATACAGGTAATTCCTCAGACAAGCTCTGCAGGGAATCCCAATGTAGAAAACCCTAAAACGCAGTACATTGTTTGCAGACCTTTTCTGGCTTTGTCCGAGTGTGAGCATCAAAAAAAGCCCAAAACACCAAACCCTCAGATCTATGTTCCCTCAACCCGTCGGGCAGACATAAACAGGAGCTAATGTGAAGAACTGGAAGCCAGCATCCTTAGCACCGACCCAGCACCAGAGACCTTTTCAGGCATGTCCGAGTTGCGAGAGCGTAAACAGGAGCTAATAAAAAAACTAAACCCTGAAGAGTCCTATCTCTGTTCCAGTATCTGACCCTGCATCGTAGGTTCGTCCTAGCCAGGCGGGAGGCAAAAAACCCTGAAGATCTGGTATTGAAAGCCTGAAGTCCGACATGTGCAAGGAGGTCGCAGCTTCAGGAGTGTTACCCTGTTCAACAAAGCTCTTTGATTCCAAGCCTCACAGAGGTTTATCGTTTCTTATCGAGTGGAATGCTCGTATGGTATAAAAGTTCAATATAGTTTGAAAACTGAATAGAGTTGTATATCCATACTTTATATATATACACATACACACACATATATATATATACATATATATATATATATATATATATTACATATGTGTATATACAGAAAGATAGGCATTCCTGTATGTAGTCTAGCAGAGTTGAACAGAGTTAGAAGTTTGAGTCTTAGATTAATCTCTTCGAGGTCTGGGCCGCTCTTTTGCTTGGAAATCTCCGTGGAGCCCGGCGGCTGGCGAAGGCTTTGGGTTTAGGGTTTAGGGTTTTGGGTTTTGGGTTTTGTTGAGGAGTGTTCGCTGGCACACAATCCAAGCCCATGCTGAAAAGGGTTTAGGGTTTAGGGTTTTAAGGGTTTAGGTTAAGGGTTTAGGGTTTCGGGCTTAGGTTGGGGGTTTCGGGCTTAGGTTCAAGGCTCGAAATCGAAGCGGTCGGCGCATGAATTCAGCCAAATCCGCGGCTACAATCCTTGCCTTGCGGACAAGAAGTTGGAAGACACAAGGTCTGTCGTCCGAATCCTAAGAGATTGAAGTGGAAGATGCAATATAGGGGCCTAAATGATTACTTACCAATACTATGTTGAGGGCTCCTTATTGTAATTATGGCACACCGGGCCCAGAAGCCCTATTTTAATTTTTTAGGCCCGTACATTAAATGGCAGGCTACGGGCTATTCTTGGGCTTTGCTCCGACGTGGATGCTGGCTGCTGGCAGGCCGCGCAGGGGTCCTGCATAATAGCCTCAATGAAGAGCATAGGATACGCTAGGGCTTCGAAGTACATTGTACGATAGTGTGGTGGGTGCGTAACCCAGAGTAGTAGTGGTAAGCATTTAGCCCTCTTATTGCAGTCCAGTACAGAGGCCGGCACCTCCAAGTAAGGGCCCTCGGGCTGGGAGGGCAAGAAAGAAATGATGTGCTGAGTACACTCGAGAGCTCTTTCTGCGACACGGGCTCAATTGCTAGGAGTCTTCCATCCTGAAGAGCTGCATGCTCATTTCAACGCCGACGATCCGAACACAACCCCTCAAGCCGAGCTACACCCAAGACAAATTCCATTTCACAGGCTTGCTCGGCACGTGTGCTGCAACGTACGCCCTCTCCGGGGCACTCCTTCAGCGAGCCGTGGCAGAACTTCTCCTTTTGGAGGGTCTGCCAGAACACATTGCGGCGTAGGTTTTGGAGCCATAACCACGGCGAATTGAGCCAAATCGCATTCGTCAGACTTAGCACCAAGCTGTAATCCCCGACCCTCAAATATCTCAAAGAGTGGAGGGGTCTTGCCTCCGCCGCAGCCGCAAGACTTTGGGTTTGAAGCATTTGATGCCCCCTTCTTAGCCGAGAGAGTGCTCTCTTGGAAAGAGGCTTCGTGTGAGTTGTCCATCCCCTAGACCCAAGAAAGGCGGAAGCACTTAAAGCTTGTGAGAATACACGAAGCCCGCACGTTGCTTTCAGGCATGATAGGGCCGAAAAACGGCCTGTTGCTCAATGCGACTGTTTCCCTTCGGGGTTCCTTTTCCCAGAGCAGCTACCGTCGGATGCATTGACTTTGCCAACTGCTGACTCGCTTGGGTACGGACCCGTATCTGCCGAAAGTTAAGATGGCCCATCTAGACCAAATTGGCTTATGTAGGTGTATGTGGAGCCATTTATCTTTTTTCTTTGTGTTTGTTGATCTGCATCTCTCTTGCTCTGTCTCTCTCACCTTCTCTTGCGCAGACGCGCTCTCGCCCTCCTCCCCTCCCTTTCTCAGGTGGCCAGACACAACTAGACTACGACAGAACGACAGTCTTAAATGTATGTTTCCTCTATGCTTGCTCGCGTGGGTTCGTCTTACAACTTGGGGCTTCGGACAACAGACGTGGTTGCGCGTGTTTGCACGGTGTACCAATGCGCAAAGCATGTGGCATGTTACGTCTGTGTGCATGTGGCCGATGTTTTGTGGGAGTGTGCGTACATGGCATGCATCGAAATGCGTACATGTACTGTATGCTCGCATACAGATGACGGCAGCTGCGATGGATACCGCTGGTTAGATCATGTTTCCTCAATATAGGAGCAGGTGTATGCATACACCGGAGCTACGCCGGCATGATGAAAAAAGGATTCTGCCAGCCGGCCGGTGTCTGCCGGAATGCAGTGAGTCACCAGCTTTCAGCACGAGTCAAGGAATGCAGTGAGTCTTCAGCTTTCCGCACGCGTCAACTCCGTCGACGATCGCTTGTCCAGCTCCTGCTAAGAATGCGATCGATTGTTGCCTTGATCTGTTGCAAAGATATCTGCCGTTTCTCGTCGCACTTGTCACTATAGTCCCATGTGCAGTCGTTTTCATTCCTCGTCCCTAGATCCAGAAGACCAAAATATGACCGCGCGGCATAACGATTTGGGTAGTTGAATAGTTATCGCTGCACAGCATCTCTCGCACCTTGAGTCTGAGATGAGACGCTCTTTGGGCCTTTCATCTGCTTTCGGCGGCCGAGCGCACGGCCTCCAGCCGTTCACTTGGCACGGCACCGTACGCACAGCGGAGCCTTCGGAGATGGGCTACGAGCGGTTGCTCTTGCCTGGGACCTTGGATGCCCCGACGCGCCGATCCTTGCGCTCGTTGGCCACGGCCGCTGGACTGCGCTACGAGACCTTCGGGCCCAAAGCCTGCCGCCGTGTTCTGCTGGCCCTGCAGGCCGAGTGCAGCTGCTGCGTGAATGTGCTTTCCTACCAAGCGACTGACACCCTCTCTACAGCGCAGCTCCGGGAAGCACTTCAGAAAGTCTTCGGCTTCAGCCCTTTGTCGGATGACGACATAACGTGAACAGCAGCCGCTATGCAGCTATGGCGTCGCTAAACGAGCTAGGCTAAGCGGCCTGGCAGAGTCATAGCTGAGATCAGAGCCGCGAGGAGAAAAGCGAGAACGGTGTTTGCTCACGGAGAGCGGCAGTTCGCAAGCTGCACTTAATCATCCAAGCAAGCAAGTGCATGCTCTTAACTGAAACAGCCAAGCACATTGCCATGCTGTCATCCCGCTAAGGTGTTTCGATGACGACCTGCGAGAAGTCGCATCGATGGTCCTGGGCAGTTTACCTGCAGCCTGACCGAGAATTGTCGGCCACATCCGCTTCCCTTCGACTAGGACGGGTTGTATTGGGGGCGCCGGGACTACATTCCAAAGTTTCACCCCTCAAGCACGCCGAGCTTTCGAATCCTCAACCTTGTTTCTGGATCGCGGCTTTCTGGCTATGTAAGGTGACGGGCTCAAATCAACTGGAGGGGTAGAAGCCGGTCATGCGTAGGCCAGCGTCGTAGATTCGTAGATGTCTCGCCGGATGCTTTGGTGCTTGTGATCGCCATCATTCTTCGGGAATGTCTGACTGTGAGACTGAGACCGCTCTTAAATCGGCAAAGAAAGGACATGGTACCTGAAACCGGCCTTTATCTTCGATCCGGTGGGATCTGAGACGCTTCAGACTTTCAGACCACTTTCGCGCTTGGACAACGGTAACATCAACAGGAATACAGAATAATAACAGCAATAATGATAATCGTAATATTTTACTAATAACCCTCAAACTTGGGCAGCTTCCGAGGCTGTCGCAAATGCCACGAGCAGGCGCCATGATGCTTGTTGTGGGCCTGAGAGAAGGAAAGAGACGAACTATTCCTGCAGGTAGTAAGGTAAAAAGGTGCCCAAAGTAAAGTTGTGCCAAGAAAGCATAGCCTTTGTTTAAAGCACAGCATTGGCAGTACTGTTCTGGTTGGCGATTCGGGGGGTGGGAAGCTGCATGGACCCCAGTGAGTCGGTTAGCTATCACAGACTCGTTCTGGGTGTGCACTCGCTGGTGGCTCCCGCGCCTGGCAGGTGTGCTGCCGGGCCTGATAGCTTTCAGCTGTGATCTCAGTTCGACGACCCAGTTCTTAATGCGCTCGCTCCTGGCACTGCCTGTGGCCCCTGAGGTGCCGGGGTGAGCGCCTTTGAGAAGTCAGCAACCCGGATCCCAGATCATCATGGCCGGGGTGCATGAGACCCTTGCATATCCCGCAGCCTCGATCATGCAGACAGAACCATTCACCAGCGGCGGCTTGTCAGAACGAGACACATGCGAGATCGTGACAGAGCTACGGGAGCCGAGTGTTCCCTCTAAGGCGTGCGAACTGGGAGGCTGCGGCGGGCTTGCTGCCCTGGCCTTGTTTCGTGTCAAGTGACAGACTGCTTTCGATTGTCAATACGCAATGGCTTTGCGACTGTTGAGGTCGGAGATGAGTAGCCAGACGGTGCAGCCCAGCGCTTCAGCCTCAGATCCTTGCAGTGCTTTTTCAATGAGCTTCCCAGGTGCGCATAATCAATGTCGGCTGCTATGGAAGCCTATCTCATTAGTAGTATCTTACAGTAAAACTACAAAGCACCACCAAACTCTATTCTGATTATTGTGGCCCCCTATATTCTAGTACCACCATGTTCCCTCGGAGCGAGCGTCAGGTCACCACCATGAACGCAGCTGCAGCCGCATGTGTCCGACCCTCTGCGCCCGTCATTTCAAAGAGGATCTATGACAGCCAGGACGAAGCCTGCAGCACCTTCCCTAAATGCTGACAGACAGACCCCCAAAAAGAAAGCCCTAAACCCTAAAAGCCGAGCCCTGAGCGGGCCTTGAATACCGGAGTGGCGCCTGAGGAGAGAGATGAAATGCCCAAAAATCTTAACGGCCTTAATCCCCAAATTCTTAGACTCTCAGACACTGTAAACTGTAGAAGTCCGTGACCCTGAAACCCTATCCTAAAGCCCTAAACTCCCCAAATCGTCCCTAGAACCCGAAACCCTGTAAACTCCTTGAAACCCCAACGTGAACTCGAAAAACTCTAAGAGCCCTCAGGGGCCCCAATCCGTAAAGCTCCCAAGGAGAAGTCGAGCTCTTGGATGCCGGCCTTGGCTTTGCTTCAGGACCTCAGACCCAGGTGCTTTTTGCTTTGGGGACCCTGGTCAGTTTAGGGCTGAGAGGGGGTCTCGTCGTTCAGGAGAAAGGAAGAGGGGACTCAGGGGGCCTGGAGTGTAAGAGCTTGGAGGTTAGGCATTTGGTTTTCGGGTTGGGGGGGGGGGGGGGGGGTGTTCAGGGTTTGACGATATATGGGACCAGCAGAAGATGACCTTGCATGCCACTCCGCAGTTCTCGCTTTGCCCGGGACTCCTTCACATGTAGAAAACACTTGAGTCACTTGAGCGGCCATACAGTACGATGAAGTCAACGTTAGTGTGTGTGTGTGTGTGTAGATGTTTATGCAGTTCTTACGACTCAGCCAGTGCACTGTCATGATTTCGTGCTGCGCCTCTACTGTCAGTTCTGAACCTTCGCTGCAGCTGTTTCGCCAGAAGGACTACTGTCACGCGCGCCCTGTGTAGGATCAGGAAAGAACTGCTTCACACAGCTGCCTCGCAGCGGATGTATAAGGGAGCTGGTAGAAGTTGCCGCCAGGTCATTGCAAGTCGCAAGGGCCCCAGTGTGTCGATTCTACACGTTGAGGCGTCGGAGGTGCGTGTAGTACCGTGCGATGTGGATCTTTATCATGTTAACACCATCGTGCTCGGAACAGAGACTTTGGCTGGATCAAGGGTGCACAGCAGCTAATAACAGCTTTGCTCCGTACTTCTATCGCAGTGATATGGCAAGCAAGAAAAACCTTCGCTAGACCGCGCCACGTTCCTCCGGTGAGTTCTGGTTGCAACCACTTCTTGGCCAAGTGATCCCAGACCGGAAGTTCTGCTAACGCCCATGCTCAGGATTTAATCTCGGTCAACGCAGCCTTTGGCGCATGCGAGCGCTCCGCTCAATATCAACCCCTGCAGGCGGATTAGGGGTTGGCGACCATTCAATTCTGAACGATGTAGTGCGCGTTTGTGCTTGAACCATGCTAGATCATTGTGACAAGATGTTTTGCCACCACAGTAGTTCCGCCGGAGCAGACGTAAACCAGGTGCAGCCTCAAAGGGAAACGTTCAGGAAGTGCATGGAAGTCCTATTCACCTGTTTCAGAAGCATCCGACAGCCCCTGAGAGCTTCCAAATCTCAAGGCTTCCCCTGCCAGTGCCTGAACTCTGCATAGGCCCAGAACCCTTCGGTCATAGCCGGTGCTTCCGAAAAGAACTTTGAGCTACCACCTGCAGCCCGAATATTTTGTAGTTTTGAACGCGCCCCGCAACCCAAAGTGACCCTATAAACCCATAAGCCTTAAATCCTTCGTCTGCCTTTCATCGCGAAGCCGTGCCTGCCGAGCGAGTGTGCGAGTTGAAACCTAAACCCAAAACCCGAAGGGCCTTAAAAACCAGACCCTCGTACCCACATGCCTGGCCTGGATTGTCCGAGTGTGTTCGCCGAAACCCCAAACGCTACAACAGTTCAGCGCAAGGACCTCGCGACTCAGATTGCCAGTCTTCTCGGTGAGCTTACTCGGCCGCTCGAAGCCACTGGCAGTCGCAGAAGAAAAGCCCGGACCTGCTAAGCACAATCGTCAGTAGCACTTTTGATTGTAGCGTAAAAAATAGTTACACGATATTTGCATACCCATTCAGCTTTACAAAACATATATATATATATACACACACACATACACATATACATACATAGGATTATCGGCGTTCTGATCTTGTTTCAGCTGGGTATGGCTAGCCATGACTGGCGACACCTGACAGCGAAGTAATCTTGGCCCTAGGCTTGCGAGTCATGACTTGGCTCAGTTCTGACAAAGCCTTTGCTCGCCACTCGGCTGAAAGAATTTCCATAGCTGAGGCTTTTGTCCCACGGAATGTGGGCAGACATCGCCGCATGCACCGGAAGTTTTCGTGATGCACATGGGGTGAGTGCAATTGCTGGAAAGATGTGGAGCAGGAATGGATGCGGCGGCAGTCGCATCTTGTACCAGTTAGTTCTGATGCCGCTCAACATTTTGCAGAGCTGACTACTCCCGAGTCGCCGCATCTCGCCGCTAGAGTAGCTGCAGTGGCCAATGGAGCTTGTGCTGCAGAACGGCAGGCCCTCATTTGTCGTTTGTGGCTGTTTCTATGCTTGCTGGTGCGGGTGCCAGCCCAGTGTTTGAGGATCACCTTTTTGTGAAGATGTCCTCAGGCTAGAGGGCCGGGAGGAATTCAGATTCTAGATTTGTTTGCAAGCTCAAACCTCTGGCAGGCTGGCTTCTGCCCCACAGCTTCGTCGCAGGAGCCAGAGTGCGGCTTCGAGAGTGGGGTATGCATTCTTGCCGAACCTTTCAGCACAAACTCCCGTTCTGAAGCTCGGCCGTGCGACGTCAGCCCGCCGGGTTCAAGGTGCCCCCTCATCATTTCACCTTCGATCTGCCCAGGTGCGGAACGCTTCAAAAGCGAACAAGCACTACAAAACCTGAACCACGGGGCAGTGGTTAGTGTTGAAAACAAGAATTGTACAGACGACGTTGGGGGATTGAAAACCGCATATAATAATACAAACAGGACTATGCAGGTCGGGCAATACATTACATATTTCAGGGGCAGGTGGTAGAAGTGGATTTGGTGCCACAGTTATAATTATAATGATATTGATGCATTCAGTGGGATATTCTCAATGCCTACGCATATATAATGTTCAGTTTTCAGACAAATATAGAGATCGCTACACTGTCGGGCCAAGATGCAGGGCGAGATCAAATTGTAGGAAGGCACTTCGATCAGCTGCAGCTGATGCTGGCTTCTCAAAGCATCCAGAACGAAGTGCGTGAGTTGCAAGAAGATGCTGATGTTTTTCTTGCGACTTGGGCTTGTTGCAAAGGGCCTAAGGGCACTCGCAAGCCTGAGGCCTGAACCTCGTAGTCAAGCCCCGGGCTAAAACTGTTTTAGTCCGTCTTCCACCCGAGACTTGAGAGCTACATGAAGAGCCCAATGCAAAGCCCGCAGTCCCGATTCCACGTTTTTCCAAGCTGGAAGGAGCATCCATGTTCAAAAGCAGGAGCCTCGTGACCCTTGCTGCAGCCTTGGCTGCTTGCGTCCACGCTCAGTACTCACTACCAGGGCGTTGAGGGGTTGGAAACATTGGCAACATGCTGTCGAGTGGATGTTGATGCAGTTCCGTTTGTTTCCGATCTGGTGGTGGGGTTTACATGATCTGTCCAAAGCCCTACTATAAAGCCCTAAACCCTAAAACCCTAAACTTTGGTGACCTTAAACCTTTGTTAGAAGCACTACATGAAGGAGTTGAAGACTTGAGGTGCTCGAGCCAGAGTCGGCTGGAGTCATACAGGCGCGGGTCGAGCCATTGCCGTGACATGTGAGGTGCATAAGGGCAAGTGTAGGGATACTATAAGGGGTAACTAGAAGGGGTAGATAACATAAGGGCGAGTGCACGGTCATTGTAAGGGGTAACTCCAAAGCGTACATGCGAGCACTGTTCGGTTTCTCTTTACAATTCAGGGATTCAGGTGTTTGACCCTTAGAGTTTGGCGCTTTAGGGTTGAGGTTTGCAGGTCAAAAGGAGTGCGAGCTGCAGAAGATGCCTAGGGTTTGGGCATTTCATGATGCTGAGCACCTGTTGTTGAAGCGCTCTGAACGGAAAGCAAGATACAACAGCTTGGCATGTCTGCACTGTTAGACTTGATAGAGACTAGTCCCTTATAGTCCCGGTGTAGTTATGGTACAGCATACCTTCAAGCCCCATGTCCTGTTGAAATTTGGCCCAAGCCAATACGCAGAGTGTGTCTTTCCATCGCTTGCGAGCAGCTCGGATCAAGAAAAGGGTGCTCTTGGCGCAGGATGGCTACTGACGGTTCTTCGCTGTTCAGCCTTGGGGCTCTACTTTCAAACACTATAATGCTGTAATTAAAGTAGTGTATAACCTAAAATGACTAATTACTATGACAAAATATATTTTCTGACAAATGCAATGTCCGAATCTGGTTGTGTCGTGGACCGACCAACCATCGGCTGCAGACCTTGGAACACTGGGGAGCGCAGTCTAGTTACAGACATCCCAACAAGCACGAGTCAAGTTGTGTTCACCCGCATGCAGCGAAGCCTGCCCTCCTCCAAGCGCAAGTATCAAGTATATGGAAGAGCCGAAATCCTAGGTTCGACACCCTTGACACTCAAGCACCGACACCTGAGTTTTCACTCGTTGTGGCAGCTCCGAAGTAGCTGTGGACTCTCAACGATCTGACTCCTGATGTCGCCCAGGTCAGGCCTCTCCGGACCACCCCGGTTCCACGTTCATTTCATCTTTTGCGAGGCTGCTCGGGGGGACAACTCTTCAGTCATAATACGTAAGTTGGGCGTTTGCAGCTTTTGCTTGCTTGGGTGTTAAGCTTTTTTAAGGCCGTCAGGGTTTGTAAGATTCAGGGTCTTAGGTTTGCTTGACGTGGATGTGCAAAGGCTATAGATTTATACAATATCGAGTCAGAGTCTCTAGAAAGCTGCGGTCGCTGTGGCATACAGGCCTTGTCGATGGAGTCCCTGAGCTGATAGAAAACCGGTCAGTTCCCAGGTGCATACACATGGGTATGGTCCGGCACATACGCCTTGTAAAGTCTCGTGTCGCAAGAGTCGGTCGCAGGTGATGACGCCTAAATTTTAAAGGAGTCCGAGTGTGAGCACCGAAAACCGTAAAGGTGATGATGACGAAGTGCCCCTATCGCGTGAGCCCGAAAGAGGTGATGACGAAGTACTCCACTCGTATCGATGCTGCCGACTTCTCCGACGGCCAGAAGACTTGCTGCATGTTGCCCTTGCGCCTCTCGGAAGGATTTCGACCGCAGGTTTTAGGGTTAAGACTGCTTCTATAGTAGGTACTATGGTTCCGGATGTAAATCAACATGAAGGTCTTGAATAGTAGGATCCGAAATATGAGGACAGAAAGGAGCAGGAGGCCACAAACTTGTAGCATTCTTGGATCTTGATGCGACCCTGCGCGCAAAACCTGTCCTCCAAGGTTGGGCGACGGTCACCTTTGGCATCTTGTTTGGTGTAGCTGGAGCATGCCAGCTCTTCGAACAGGTCTCTCTCTCCGCAAATGAGACACTGGATAAAGACAGTATTGTTGTGTCTTGATATGACATATGTATGCATGCTGTACAGATTTGCAGACAGGTGTCTGTTTACATCTCTGTTTCTTTTTGTTTCTTCATGGCTGTGCTATTCTTTTGGATGCGCGAAGGTGTTGACGAGCCTAGCAGAGCATCCTTTAAGGTTTATCGCGCAACTGGCGGAGACGTTTCGGGCTACAACGTCCAAGAGAAGAGACTCCCAGCTGCACCGGCGGGAGCATGCACGGTTTCGGAACATGCTGGGCTGTATTGTATGCAAGTGGGCTCAGGCAAAAGCACGCTGACCCTCCTGGCTTTGGCTTGCTGCATGCTCCTCTCTGGCGTGTCGGGTTGCGCAGGCCGCACACCTAGCTGAAGCACACGTTGCTGAAAAGATTAGCTGGGACTTCTCCATTGCGCTGTACCTGATGTCTGAACGTATGACAAGCCGGTTCGATACCTCTTAAACACACCTTATCATCAGAGACATTGCCTGGAACGAAACTCGACGAGAAACAGCTTGATGTGGAGATCCAGTGGGCAAGGTGCGTTCTTCGAGATTCGGCATCCGGTGACGCCGCCTGGAAGCACTTGTCATAACGTCGCAAGTCCTCCAGCCAGGATACGCAGGTGGTCTAGTACGCACATGTCAAAACTGAAATGAGGATGGTCATGAACCTCGCGTGAATGTTTGGCTGTAGCAGCAGTTGAAGTAGTCATCTTCGTGATTCTGATTTTCATCACACTCTCCATCCGTCGCCTGCGCAATCCGCAGATTAAGAGGCGTGACCCCGACCAGGTTTTTCGCAATCATGCTCCTCCTTCAATGCATCTTGGAGGTTGCTTGGTTCGTACTCGAGGACCGAAGATGTAGGCAAAGAGGTGCATGGAGACTTAGTCGCCTCGCAAGCGCCTCAAAGTGTAGAATGGCCGTATTCCTGGCCAGGCTCTGTGGAGAGAGATTTGTTTGAGCGTGGTGGGCGTGAACCAGCATACGTTTGTGCTAGGAGAACGGACACGAACAAAGACATCAAAAGTGAGAAGTTGCAACTGCACGGAAGACTGCAAACTTGCGTGCACATCTCTATGTGTGTTTCTATGGTTGGCGCCGGAATACAAGGATTCTTGGGAGCATGACACCCGAGCACATTTACAATTACGAGTTTCAATCAGGTTCTGGAGGTTCCTGTGCCCTAGCGCCGAAAGCATCATCCCTGTCTGCCGCGAAGTTACGACGCGATTGACAAGGATTGGGCTGACGTGCAGGTGCAAGCGAAGACGGATGGAAACAACTGGCAAAGCATTGCTTTTGGACAGCTGGAAGAAGCTGTGCGGAACACAAGAAACTCAAGATTGTCTCGGCGACTTGCCCAGCTTCCAAGGCAGTCGATGAACCGTTTTGCTCATCCCGCCTTTGGTGCCTTCTTCAAGCCGTACATCGAGAAAACTCAACACGTCAGAGGTTAGATCACACGATGTGTTGCCACGCCAGGGTTGATTTAACTTCGGCAAGATGGCTATGCCAGAGCGCATGCATAGGGAAGGTAGCTGCTGACGTTTTCCTGCCTTATCCAGGATTCCACTGGAACCTTCGGTGACTTCTGCCATATGATTTGGTCTGAGGTCGTCCTTGGCCGCCTGGCTGCGTAAGACGACAGCAGCATCATGACTGTGAACACTGGTCCTACTAACGATGGTGATGACGATGATGATGATGCAGATAATGATGATGATGATGGTCATGACCATCCGTGCCATTCAAACTTTCAAACAGTTCTCCATGTTGCCTTCCTTAAGCACTTGTAATCTGTGTGTTTTGTGCTGCTCTGATGCCCCAAGAGATGTACTCTAGAATCCGCTGACACTATGGCGAAGATTAACCTGATATTGCATTGACCATCACCGAGGCAATCGTTCCGTGAACAGCCCGGTGGCGGTGAACCTCTTCTATGCCTTGATGTCCATAAACATTCATCTCTGGGCCTGTGGCGTTGTGGCCAGTTACGCTCCTTGGAGGCAGACTGAAGGTGGTTCCGATGTCTCATTCCGGGAGCCGGGAGCACCCTTCAGGCCCCTAGTGTATCGGGGTGAGTCCAAAAATGCTCACCACACCGGGAGCAGCACCCAGAACACACACCGCTCTCTGGGGGGAACACGAGGACTGTGGCGGGAAACGCCTTGTGCGCAAAGTGTTTTTTTTCTCACAGCTTTCTCACTCCTAATGTCCCGTGCTGTTGCTCGCCACGCTATTGGACGAGGTGTCGTCATCCTGATGTGGAGAGGAGTACAGTTGTGATACTCGCCGCACATGTAAGTCTAGAGCTGGCGATGTTGACACTCGTTGTTGTTTCGCGCCCCCAATATTTACGTTCAGTCCTTTATAGCCAAGCTCGACGGAGCCCCAAGGCTTTGGAACTCCGGGCTGCCGGCAAGGCCGTCTGGTTCGAGCCAATCGATGATGACGATGACGACGAGGACCAACCTTCCGAAGTCTAATTACCTATCCCGAGTCTAAGTCTAATTTTTAAGGCCCCTATAGTAGATCCGGAGGTGCAGATGTGAAGTTGCGTGCTGCTTGAAGAGTGCTAGAATCTAGACAGCAGAAGTTGCTGTTCTGCATGTGCACTAACAGTGTAGTAGCCCTTATAGCAACCCTTCTAGAACCTGTGCAACTTCAGGAAGCGGCCGAAACGCCTCTGAAGGGCCAGGAGGTGTCTCAGGGCAGCGAGAGGGCAGAAGGCTACGGGGCGACTCCGCCCTAGCTTTCCAGCGCCTTAGTCGAGCAGAGCTGGCAGCATCGGTGGCGAAGGGAAAAATGGCAAGAATGCCTTTTTGATGGCAGACACAGAGATACTTTCTGAGGGCCCGTGACTTGCAGTATCTGATTCTCGCTGTCTGTCAGGTTGACAGGGGTAAAACAGGCCTTCAATAACGTGAGCAGGGATCGGTTTGGGGTTTCAACAGGTCTTGGAATGGCATGTAGCACAACATAGAAACTTAGCACGAAGACTTCAGTTGGCAAGTGTTCAAGCCCTTAGCTTAGATTAGGTGACATTATCAGATGTGTGCATGGCTTTCTTGTCAAAATGCTTGTGCCTCGCGCACGCTCCGGGGGGTGTGTACACATGCCCACCGGCTCCGTCGCTTAACTTCAGCAAGTGGGCTAAACTTACTGTCGTAACGCAGAATCAGACGGACCACATTCGTGATCTCGACTTCGAGGGCGAAACTGACCCTAAATGTTTGGATTTACTTGCTAAGTTTCTGGCAGGCTGGCCTGATTGACTTTCTGCTCGACCGCTTCGTCGCAGGAGCCAGATAGCGAGCCTGAGTCTTTGAGGGCAAGCTCCTGTTCTGAAGCTTTGCAGTGCAACCGCACGGGCCGAGATCAAGGTGCGGCCGTATCAGGCCACGTCGAGTTTGATGCCGAGGCCATAGAGGTCAGCCAGATCTTCGATTGTCAGCGCGATGGCTGGAGAGATCTGTTGGACTCTGTACTGACATGCAGGAGAAAGACAGCGAACTCGCCAAGATGCAGGGCCAGATCAACCTAATCCAGAGCCGGTATTTCGATGAAGCAGGCGGGATGTACAATGCGAGGATTGACACAGGGCGCTCATGAGAATTCGCTCGACTTCCCAAGTCTCTCGAGCACGCTATGCTTCCATCCTCGCCCCCGGAGTTTCAAAGAGCACCACCGGAGGCCCAAGCAGCCGGAGAAGCAGATGCAGCAGCTGAAGGAGCAGGTGAAGCTGCAGCAGGCCGCCCTCCACTTTGCAGACAGCTGAAGGAGCTGTCAAAGTTGCAGTAGCGCATGCTGAGCAAGTCCTTTCATTCGTAGAGATGAGAAGCCCTGCTCCACCCAAACCATGAAACGGGCCATAGGTGCCTCCCTGCTTACTGTATGCTGACGCACCAGGGAAGTGGCCCGCACGTTTGTAGATACGGACCAGAGTCAACTTTCTCCTTGCGAGGCCTACAGGGGGACTGAGCTACCTTAGGGGAAATCTGGCCATGCTAATGCGTTTATAGACTGTTGAGCATGGAGCCTCAAACAAGCCCTTGAGCCAATTGAATCCGTTGAAAATTAAAGCCCTTATTAAGGACAGTGGTAACCAAGAAGCCATGTCTTAGTGCTTCTTGATTCCTTTGCCGCGTATTTACTGTACATGTGCTGCACACAAGACCTTATGGACCAAAGCGGCGGTTCGCCCTGTCCGGTACCCTGATGAATGAGGAATATTCTCTATTCTTGGCGTCCTTGTTTCCACGACGCTGAAAACCATGATGCATCATGACCCCGCAGTTACCTAATGTCCAGGTGCTCGTGCATTTGCGGTACCTTGGCCATCCCATTCAAGGTGGGGAGTGCAGTCAGAGTCAGATTGAAGTTTTGGGTTTCGCATTGCCTGGAGCAGAAAGCGTCACATGTGTTTAATGGAGTACGATAGTCCAGTTGAATCGGCTGAGCGGCCATATCTGTTGCCACTGGCTTGTGGCTGGAAAAGGATTTCTCTGATTGATCCATGGAAGTTCGGAAGTTCTACGCATTGCATGGAAGGAAAACATTTGTCTAACTTCGGTGGCCTCGAGCGTTGGCTGCCCTTGCCATGGACAGCCTTTGCCGAGATGGAGACGCTGACGCGCGGCTACTGGGCCGCAAAACCCTGGGTGGCAAGCTCCAATGGGAGCAGAAGTTCCGGCTGGAGGCCGTGTGCATGATTGAAGCATATCAACAGTCAACATGAGTCTTTGGCATTTCTTGTTGTGTTTGAGTCTTTCGTCCACGTCCGACAGGCCCTGCAGGCCGAGGGGCGTGCCAAGCGGCAGCAGGCGTTGATGGGGTTGGGATGTTTCCCCCAGCTAAAAGGAGCCATGAAGCGCCTGAGTTGTGTTGTTTCTGTTTTTGTCTTGGCAGGCTCCGTGCAACCAAGCTGTGCGCCCGTTGGTGCAGCGTGGATGGGCGACAGTGCAGCGAGCTGCCAAGGTCAGAGCCACCAAACGCGGCAGCTCCGAGATTCTGGCGAGCTTGGAGGAGGGCAGTTCCGTTTTCGTAGATGCAGTGTTGGGGAAGCAGGCGCTCATCCAGCAGCCGTTGAGAGGGTGGGTGGCACTTGAAAAAAGAGCCGGCCCCGTTTTCCGGCAAGAGGATTACCAGAAGCTGCAGCCGGGCGAGAAGCCAGCCTTGCAATGTGTCGTCGAACGTTTCAAGCTTGAACAGCAGCCCACTGTCGACATGGCAAGCACTTCCGAAGACCTTCCTAGCACTGCCGGCCCCGTTTTCCGGCAAGAGGATTGCCAGAAGCTGCAGCCGGGCGAGAAGCCAGCCTTACAAAGTGTCGTCGAAGGTCTCAAGCCTGAACAGCAGCCCACAATCCACATGGCAAGCACTTCCGAAGACCTTCCTATCATTGCGTGCGAGGCTTCCGATCAAACGAATGGAGGCAAGGCGGATACCAGCGTTGTCGCTTCTTATCCGATGTGCGGGCTTGGGTTGGCATTCGTGGTGCTTGCTGCGCCAGACTCTGCCAAGCCGCTGAACTTGACAGCGATGTCGCATCGCCTTACATCAATCGTCGAGCGCAGCTGCCTCCCAAGCACCTCCAATCTTTGCCACAGAGACGGAGCAAGCGACTTTCGCATCCTTCCAGGCCATGCATGGGCCAAGATCCATGCTGCCTTTTTCCCCGAAGAGCATCGACCCTGGCATACAGACGCTGATCTTTGCATGATGCCCAGTGCCACGCATTGTGATGTTCCGAAGGCTTCGCACACGTATCCCAGTGATGGCCGCACAGGGCAAAGCCTACTGCAAGGAGCCTCTTCCCTGTTCGGTTTGGGATTGGGATTTGTGGTGCTAGCAATGCCAAGCCAGCGCACGTGGAGATTAAAGCTGCTGGCATCCCCTCGTTTGCCACCGTCTGCACAACATGCCACATCAGGCGACTTCCGCACTTTGCCCAGCGCCAGCTGGCAAAAGCTCTATGCACACTTCCCCTGCCCGTCAAGCCCCTCAGCCGCGAACAGCATTGGACATGTAGAGTTGGGGGCGGCCCCAACCGCCGACAACTGGTTGCCGATGCACTTCATGACACTGCGTGAAGCAGTCCGAAAGGCATGTTGCTGCCGACGACGCAGGCAAAGCACATGAAGCTTGCTTCAGTACCTGTCATTGTTTTCCCTGTCCAGGAGAGAATGTGCCTGAAGACAGTTCGACGGAACTGCTACGCCTTCGTGATCAGCAAAACGACTCTGCAGACTCACTTACCATGCTATATTGCGAAGCCTACACCATGATGCCACCCAGTAGTGAATCCTATGCTTTGCCGCAATCACCCACATGTATTGTTCTGACAGGAGTTATTCAGCAGCTGAAGGAGCAGGTGAAGCTGCAGCAGGCCGCCCTCCACTTTGCAGACAGCTGAAGGAGCTGTCAAAGTTGCAGTAGCGCATGCTGAGCAAGTCCTTTCATTCGTAGAGATGCGAAGCCCTGCTCCACCCAAACCATGAGACGGGCCATAGGTACCTCCGCTTATGCTGACGCACCAGGGAAGTGGCCCGCACGTTTGTAGATACGGACCAGAGTCAACTTTCTCCTTGTGAGGCCTACGGGGGGACTGAGCTACCTTGGGGGAAATCTGGCCATGCTAACGCGTTTATAGACTGTTGAGCATGGAGCCTCAAACAAGCCCTTGAACCAATTGAATCCGTTGAAAATGAAAGCCCTTGAGGACAGTGGTAACCAAGAAGCCATTTCTTAGTGCTTCTTGATTCCTTTGCCGCGTATTTACTGTACATGTGCTGCACATTGCTGCAAGAAGCTCCGTACAAGACCTTATGGACCAAAGCGGCGCTTCGCCCTGTCCGGTACCCTGATGAATGAGGAATATTCTCTATTCTTGGCGTCCTTGTTTCCACGAAGCTGAAAACCATGATGCATCATGACCCTGCAGTGACCTAATGTCCAGGTGCTCGTGCATTCGCGGTACCTTGGCCATCCCATTCAAGGTGGGGAGTGCAGACAGATTCAGATTGAAATTTTGGGTTTCGCATTGCCTGGAGCAGAAAGCGTCACATGTTTTTAATGGAGTACGACAGTCCAGTTGAATCGGCTGAGCGGCCATATCTGTTGCCACTGGCTTGTGGCTGGAAAAGGATTTCTCTGATTGATCCATGGAAGTTCGGAAGTTCTACGCGTTGCATGGCAGGAAAACATTTGTCTGACTTCGGTGGCCTCGAGCGTTAGCTGCCCTTGCCATGGACAGCCTTTGCCGAGATGGAGACGCTGACGCGCGGCTACTGGGCCGCAAAACCCTGGGTGGCAAGCTCCAATGGGAGCAGAAGTTCCGGCTGGAGGCCGTGTGCATGATTGAAGCATATCAACAGTCAACATGAGTCTTTGGCATTTCTTGTTGTGTTTGAGTCTTTCGTCCACGTCCGACAGGCCCTGCAGGCCGAGGGGCGTGCCAAGCGGCAGCAGGCGTTGATGGGGTTGGGATGTTTCCCCCAGCAAAAACGAGCCATGAAGCGCCTGAGTTGTGTTGTTTCTGTTTTTGTCTTGGCAGGCTCCGTGCAACCAAGCTGTGCGCCCGTTGGTGCAGCGTGGATGGGCGACAGTGCAGCGAGCTGCCAAGGTCAGAGCCACCAAACGCGGCAGCTCCGAGATTTTGGCGAGCTTGGAGGAGGGCAGTTCCGTTTTCGTAGATGCGGTGTTGGGGAAGCAGGCGCTCATCCAGCAGCCGTTGAGAGGGTGGGTGGCAATTGAAAAAAGAACCGGCCCCGTTTTCCGGCAAGAGGATTACCAGAAGCTGCAGCCGGGCGAGAAGCCAGCCTCGCAAAGTGTCGTGGAACGTTTCAAGCCTGAACAGCAGCCCACTGTCCACATTGCAAGCACTTCCGAATACCTCCCCAGCACTGCCAGCCCCGTTTTCCGGCAAGAGGATTGCCAGAAGCTGCAGCCGGGCGAGAAGCCAGCCTCGCAAAGTGTCGTGGAACGTTTCAAGCCTGAACAGCAGCCCACTGTCCACATTGCAAGCACTTCCGAATACCTCCCCAGCACTCCCAGCCCCGTTTTCCGGCAAGAGGATTGCCAGAAGCTGCAGCCGGGCGAGAAGCCAGCCTCGCAAAGTGTCGTGGAACGTTTCAAGCCTGAACAGCAGCCCACTGTCCACATTGCAAGCGCTTCCGAATACCTCCCCAGCACTGCCAGCCCCGGTTTCCGGCAAGAGGATTGCCAGAAGCTGCAGCCGGGCGAGAAGCCAGCCTCGCAAAGTGTCGTGGAACGTTTCAAGCCTGAACAGCAGCCCACTGTCCACATTGCAAGCACTCCCGAATACCTCCCCAGCACTGCCGGCCCCGTTTTCCGGCAAGAGGATTGCCAAAAGCTGCAGCCGGGCGAGAAGCCAGCCTTGCTCAGTGTCGTCGAAGGTCTCAAGCCCGAACAGCAGCCCACTGCCCTTCCTGGCACTGCGTGCGAGGCTTCCGATCAAACGAATGGAGGCAAGGCGGGTACCAGCGTTGCTTCTCATCCGATGTGCGGGCTTGGGTTGGCATTCGTGGTGCTTGCAGCGCCAGACTCTGCCAAGCCGCTGAACTTGACAGCGATGTCGCATCGCCTTACATCAATCGTCGAGCGCAGCTGCCTCCCAAGCACCTCCAATCTTTGCCACAGAGACGGAGCAAGCGACTTTCGCATCCTTCCAGGCCATGCATGGGCCAAGATCCACGCTGCCTTTTTCCCCGAAGAGCATCGACCCTGGCATACAGACGCTGATCTTTGCATGATGCCCGGTGCCACGCATTGTGATGTTCCGAAGGCTTCGCGCATGTATCCCAGTGATGGCCGCACAGGGCAAAGCCTACTGCAAGGAGCCTCTTCCCTGTTCGGTTTGGGATTGGGATTTGTTGTGCTAGCAATGCCAAGCCAGCAAACGTGGAGATTAAAGCTGCTGGCATCCCCTCGTTTGCCACCGGCTCCACAACATGCCACATCAGGCGACTTCCGCACTTTGCCCAGCGCCAGCTGGCAAAAGCTCTATGCACACTTCCCCTGCCCGTCAAGCCCCTCAGCCGCGAACAGCATTGGACATGTAGAGTCGGGGGCGGCCCCAACCGCCGACAACTGGTTGCCGATGCACTTCATGACACTGCGTGAAGCAGTCCGAAAGGCATGTTGCTGCCGACGACGCAGGCAAAGCACATGAAGCTTGCTTCAGTACCTGTCATTGTTTTCCCTGTCCAGGAGAGAATGTGCCTGAAGACAGTTCGACGGAACTGCTACGCCTTCGTGATCAGCAAAACGACTCTGCAGACTCACTTACCATGCTATATTGCGAAGCCTACACCATGACGCCACCCGGTAGTGAATCCTATGCTTTGCCCGCAATCACCCACATGTAGTGTTCTGACAGGAGTTCTTCTGGATGTGACTAGCAGGTCACTAACGCTATGCGTACGTTTTTGACCAGATGTGCAGAGTACGATTTCAGAACACTGACAGCGCGGGGGTGTAGCTGCAAGTTTAGGTGTGTCAGATCTCCCCCCACAAGCGAGGCCCGCAGCAAATGCTGTCAGCAGGTGTGCAGCCCATCGGAAGGTAAGTAATTATGTAGGTGGATAAGGTCATAGACAGCTTCGAGTCACATTCATGCAGAGCGCGCTTCAGGGAACACATACAGTACAGGTTCAGACTGCACCGAGCAATGTCCAGCACGAGCTTCAAGACTTTCGCATCAGGCGGTGGTTCGAAAGTGGATGACATCTGCCTGGGCCCTGGAAAGCGCCCTCTCTTGATTTGTGCACCAGTCCTAAGCTACCTTAAGTCTCAAGTTAGCCCAATGTCCGCAAAGTAACATGTCCTGTTTCAGCACCCCCCCTTCAAAACAGTAAGGAAGACCGAGTGAACTCTCCAGCCTGGCCGTATTTGCCAAGCTTTGAGGGTCGATGCCCGGATCCCTGGGAAGCCCAGGCTTGAAGGAACAAGGATCCCAGTGCGGAGGACTCGTAGCCCGAGACCGCCTCACTAAAGCTTTCGGAAACATCAAGAGGTTCCTGCTTCTGTTTTGCCGACTGAGCGGCTTCTCCAAGTTTTGGCTGCGAGTTCTTGGCTTTCGAAGAAAAGCAAGAGCGTACAATCACCAACATGTGGTGTTCTGACAGGAGCTCTGGCGGATGTGACGAGGAGGCCGTCGCGCATACTGTGTGGGAGACAAGCTTCTGTTACATATGACTCGAACGCACCCGACAAACCGCAAACTGCTCCAGAGGCACTGAAGCCCGAATTAGGAAGATGGAGCTCGGTGAACTTTTCCCGCGTCGTTGAGGCACCAGGCCGGGCACTGTGCAAAGACTCACTGCGCCAGTGGGTTATGTTAACCAATGCCGACTTCGAGAAGCTCCATAACGCAAGCCATGGCATCGAGTTAAAACTGTTGGAGCTGTTGTCGCCCAGTCTGAAAATCAGCAGCTTCGTGGACGAAATCAGTTGCGAGCGTTGGCTACCCCAGGTTCCCAACATGGTTGGCTGGACGGACTGGCTTTTTGCTGGTGTGTGCTCCTGGTCCTGCGACTTCAGACAAAAGCCTGCATTGCTCGTGGCACCACCTCGAATTTTACCAGAGCTGGCCACTCTAGACGATGTTGAGTCGAAGCATCGCTTGTTGTACGGGGTTCCTTTCTTGCTCATGGGACCTGTGATCATGGACGTCTTTCCGCCCGGCTAGACTACGTGCTACGGCGAAAGCTGGATGTTCGCAACCTTGATTTTTCCAGCACCGAGCTGCTCGACCTAAATCGGGATGAGCTCCGGGCCTCGCTTCGACACTCACTTCCGCCCATTCTGCAAAAACACGCAGTCTCTGTGATTGCTGACATGAATCTGCGTTCAGACATCGGCAATTCACCCTCAGCGAGTTCCTGGATGCAGGTATTGAGTTGGAGGAAACCCGCCGCACAGGCTTCACCCTGAGCGGCCTCGAGACAGCTACAGAATTGAAGGCAGCCCGTCTTGCAGGGTTCACTCTCGCTGAATGCCTCGAGGCACGTATTGCTTTGAAGGAAGCCTACCTTGCGGGCTTCAATGCCTTGGGGCAGGATTTCACCTGCCTGAAGAACTCGACGAGAAACTGAAATCAGAGTCACCCCAGAGGCTGAGTCTTGATGCGCACGAAATGGACGTTTTGCGGAAGTGGGAAGTTGAAATCTCCCTTCGCAAGACTTGTGCCGCCATGTGGAAATTAATGGCTTTCTATGGAGTCAGCGTAGGCCCCCACAGCCTCAAACTCCCACAAACTCTGAGTTCACTACAGTAGCAGCAAGTAACAAGTAGGAGCCAAAGGGACTCCTGCATGGTTGCTGCTGCAGGCGGAGAAAAGTTGCGCATTCGACCAGAAGACCATTTTTTGGGAGGCTGCAAGGCACCGTGCGTGATTCATGACGTGCAGCTGCGACCATGTCGACAAATCAGAGACTCCAAAGCCTTCGAAGGGAGTTCTGTCTAGCACTCTAGTGTTTCCGAACCAATGCCCTGCCCAAAAGAAGGCATAAACAGTGTGGTCACTGTAAACATCCTGAAGCCCAATCCTACTGGACCATGGAGCAGGCACCAGTGCCGAATCGGGTTCGGAAGGTTTTGTCGATGACTTCAGCTTGAAGCATACATAACTATTCGAAAAGCCCAGTCACCTATACAAGCGGTTCAGCGTCGTGTGATTGCATGAGGGGACAGCACCTGCTGCGTATGTAAGTGGGCTTCGAATCTCCTGAGAGGTGTTGGCAATCAATCCTTTCGGCTGAGTTCCGAATTCCGACGCGTTTCTGCATCCTTTGCTCCTGCCAAAGTCACCTGTTCATGGAGCCTCCTGAGGCGAAAGCTCGCCACAGTTGCGCTCTGCTGACGGACTTGAGAAAAACTGCAGACCCACGGAGCCGAATACCCGTGGTTTCGGAAAGGTCCTTCAATCACCGATCCGAGGGTCTATGAGTCTTGTTAGCTGTTCCTTGCCGCTTTGCTTTACGAGTAACTCGCGTGCTGTAGCCGTTGTGTTAGTTGCGTGATGTGGGACTTACCATGAACTTAGTTTCCTTTGTCTGCGTCAAAGCTGTTGAGCATTCTTGTTGCGCAATCCATCTGAAGCACGCGCGTGTGGGAACAACTTGCGCTGCGAAGCTTTTGGCCCAAGCCATGGCGACGGCTTTCCAGACGCTCGTCATCTTGCTCTGCAGCAACCTTGCCGCCGCGCAAGTTCAGGCGCCGGCCACCGGAAGCCTCGGGAACTCCCGTCCTTTCTTCTGTCCCTCCACATCCTCCCCGACAGCTTCAGTCGTGCAGCCCGTGGCCTTTTTAAAGCCTCTCCAAAGCTCTCAAAGCTTGAGCCCTGAGTGAAGCCTGAAGCACGGACATGGAGCCCCTCAAAGTCAAAACCCCTCAGTCGTGATAAGAATTTCTCCTTGGGACTTGGCTACCCTTAACCCTTTGATTCCCTGATATTCCTATTATAGGTAATGAAGGGTTAACCCTTAGTGGGGGTCCTAAGTGCCACGTAGATTTTTGCAAATGACCGAATGACCTTGAACCTAGACATCTACAATCCCCCCAGACCTGTGCCCTTTGCGCCTTCACGCTTGGTGGCTCCCAAGGCGGTGTGCAACCTGCAGGATGGAGCAAAGGTCCTGGGATGCACCAATGGCCACCCGGTTCGGACTCAGATGCCCTTTGCACGGGTTAGATACACAATCGCAGTAATGGCCAGAATCTAGTAAGACAAGAGAAAGAGGAATAAGAAGAGTAGTGAGGGGAATGTGTCATATAAATTACACGGTTTTCTTTGGCCTCGCCCTCGGCACCCGGGTTGTCTCCCAAAAGCCGTGCGATGCTCCGATGCGCCAGTCCTGGGCAGTCCTTGGTAGGCACAAGTAGTCATCATGTTTTTACATGCAGCGAAGCCTACGAAGCCAGGCACGGCCAACTCCCCGGCCATGACCAGCATGAAGCAGGACTTCATCGAGGAAGTGCGCCGAGCTGGCCGTGAGCGAGGGGACTCCGTTCCCATCTACAATGAGCATGCGTACAAATACAATGAGATGTACAACGGAGTCCGGTGGCAGGGCCCAGCACACGTGGCCGAGAAAGCAGCCTCCCTCCTCAAAGACTTCCCGGAAGTTCTGTCCCATGTCCTAGATTTCGGCTGTGGCACAGGCCTCACGGGATTGCAGCTGCGGGCGCGTGGCATCAGCGAGGTCCATGGTCTGGATCCCTCTACTGGTATGCGGGCCATGATTCCAGAGGGCACGTACGTCCACATGTACCAGGACGTGGCAGACTTGTCCTCCTTGTCCTCCAGATTTGCGATGATTGTGTCCACGGCTGTCATTGGCACACACGTGGGACCCGAGGTTGTCGCCAAGCTGGCACTGTCACACTTGGAGCCCCGCGGGCACATGGTCTTCACGTTGAAGGTGTCGTATTTCAACAGCCCTGAGTTCTTTGAAATGTTTGAGTCCTTGAAGATGAGTGGCTTCGCCGTTCAGAGGAGCACGGGCATCCTCTTGCACACGGACGACCCGCGGAACGAGCACACGATCGTGACCATCAGCGACCAAACCGAGCCTCGGCCCACCATCATGTTGTGGTCGACCCCAAGATCCATGTCCACAGCCCTGGAAAGATGTGTGCAGGATCACCCTCAGGTAGGCACCGTGATGCATGACATCATGTCAGGGCCCGAGTTTGGGCTTACAGATCCCGAGATCCAGGGGATGCACTTTGATGGGAAGACTGCAGCGACCTATGAGCAGGTGCTTCGCCATGTGCACCGCACAATCTTCGCGAAGCTGAACAGCACTGTCTTCATCAAGACGACAGCACGCTGCGCTTCGCAAGTCAGCCGTGACAAAACCTACTGGTCCCAGCCCCACTTCCAGCACCGATTCTTAGGGGTACTTGGAAATAATGTTTACTTTTTGTGTATTTTAGTCCAAAGGAACAGCAAAAACATTGATTTTTACTAGGGTTCCAAGTTCACCATAGGATTCCTGGTAGAGCACCCTGAGTGGGTCATACCATCCGTGTACGCGCGACTCGATGAAGGCGTTCAGCTGGCGAGGTACCAGCTTTGCTACGACTCCTTGGCCAGCATCATTAAAGCGATCGGTGGACCGAAACCAATCGTTGTACAGGCTGCAGGTTTGAGGAGCTCGCCGACAAAGGTCAGGACCTTCCTCAGCAACCTCACTGGTCTCAACGTCAATGAGCTCAGCTTGACCTGGCAGCCCCATGACTCTCCGCTTTGGTATCGGATGGGAGGCGGCGGGAACAAGTCGGCGCGAGTTGGAACCGATGGCTTCCGCAACTATCACGACACAGTTCGTGACTCCTCCTCCTTTTTAAGCTCGCGGAAGATCTATGATGCAAACGCCACCACGAACCATGTGCAAGCCCAGATGCTTGAGGAAGTCCTGCCTATCTATCGTGATATCGTGAGCTGGATCAGCCCGTGAACTCTTGGGAGGATGCTCGGGTTCTTGATGTTAGTCTTTGCGCCAATGGGTCATTGACAGAGAAGCATCCCTTGGCATTTAATTCAACACCGCAGAAGTAGGTGCGTGTTGTGTCAGCGAAGCTGTTGCACGCTTTTAAAATGCTCTTTCCTGTCCCGGCCCAGAGCTTTCAAGTCAGCTGCCTCCGGCCGAACATGTGGAGAGGCAGACCAGCCGTGATATTCAAGATTTTGGGCCTCTAACAGCGGGCACATGCATAGGAGCTGAAAGAAATGAACAGGGGCGAATTTGGGCGTCAGTTCGAGAGTTCTATTTGGTTCGTTTGACATGATTTGCTTGGCTGCTTCAACTTCCTTCCTGATTTAGGCCCAAGTCAGACAGTGCTGCCGCCCGAAGTGTACAGCGCAATGCAATATGCAATGTCGGACTGCAAGAAAGTTGTGTTGGTGCTAGCCTGTTTCACTGGGCAGTTTGTGTCCGTGGGCATCTTCCTGTCCTATGGGCCATTGTTTCAGGCCTTGCTGCATGACACCGGGAAGCACGCGGGGACTGTGGCCTTCATCGGATCCCTCCGAGACTTTCTCATCAACATTGTCCAGGCCATGGCCGGCTTTGTAGTCAAGGACGTAGGCTTTGTGACCATGGCTGCCGTGGGCGCCGTGCTCCTTGTTTCGGGCACCTTCCTGGACAGTTGCTCTGATGCAGGCTTCGCAAACGTCGGATTATGCTGAACGGCTTCTTTGTGCTGCTATGCTTTTAGTTCGACTCCTGGTGACTATTGTAGGTTAGGTTGAGCTTTAAAGGCAAAAAATCAGCAGCTGAGGCTATGCAGGTCTGTCCATCCCGTGGCATGTTCTGTGGCTCAGCATCTTTTCGGGAGCAGGCAATGCATTGCTCTGGGTGACGCAGACGACTGTCTTATACGGCCGTTTGGGAGAAAGGCAGCTGCCTATCGCAGTGGCGGTAGCGTCTGCAGGCCACTGGGTGACATGAGTGTTGAAGCTCTTACTGTAGAGTGGCGTCCCGAAAAGTCTTCCTCTCATGCATAGCGGCCCGCAGAGAGTGGTGCAGGAGGGGGCCTGGGCACGGTGGCCATCAACGCGCTCTTCGAGCATGGCATCCAGCACCTTGGCTGGCAGAAGACGGAGCGGATCCAGGCCCTGTGCTTTGCCTTCATCCTCGGTCTCAGCATCCTGGGTTTCTGGTGGGCCATGTCCGACCAACAATCGTCTTCTTCTTCCCGCACACTGACGAATCTGACGAGGAAGAAGTGTACGTCCATGTTGAGAGAGCCTTGCATCTTCAGTTTTAGCTTTGTGCATCCACTCAAGATGCCTTTAAACATAGTAGCTTTAAGGCAGAATCTGGTTGAATCCTCCGCGCTGTCAGGATTTGCTACGTCCCCTGCTAGAAGTCGAATTTGTCCTGGTCAACGTGGCCCTCCTACTCTACTTCACGGGTTTCACGGTTCCCTACACCCACCTGGTCTTCTATGCACGGGAGATTTGCGGCTACAGCGCTGCCCCGATACTGATGTCCAGTTTGGGCACCGCAAGTATTGTTGGGCGGCTAGGTTGCGGCCTGCTTGCGGTCTTCTTCCCGGCAAGTAGGCTGTTGCTTGGCAAGCTTTGGCGAGCTTGTTTTTTTTGTTGGTTCTGCTTTGTTGCTGCAGTCAAGCGCCAAGTCAAGTGCAGCGTTCAGTGTTAGGGGACGGAACCTCTATATGTGAATGAGGTTCATAGCCATGATAGTTCTTCAAGCGGGCGCGCTCACCTGGCTTCCCCTGTGTCAGACAGCTGGCGAGTTGCACGGCTTCGCTGTGCTTTTCGGCATCTCCTCGGGTACGCGCGTGGCCCTCATGGGCTTGGTGCTCAACGAGCTCTTCGGACCAGAACGGGTGCCCCACCTCTTCGGCTTAAGTGGCTTATCCATTGGCTTGGGTCAAATGATTGGACCTCCCTTGGTCGGCGTCATCTACGAGCTCCACAGCTACAAAGAGGCTTTCTGGACCTCTGCTGGCCTCATGTTGCTCTCCGTCCCTTTTCTCTTTGCGATCCTCTGGCGCATCCGGTCCAAAGTGGACAAGGACCAGGATTCGCCAAAGGACGAGAGTGATGCCTCTTACGAAGACGGCTCTTCGGAAGATAGTTGAGGTGCAAGAGCCCGCAGGGAAAGACCCAAAAGCACTTGAGACGAATTGATCTGAATATGTAGGGGTACCTTTTTGGGGGTCCCTGTATAATAAGGGGCTATAGTATTTTGGGGTCTAGATTGGGGTACCCTATTTCGGGAAACTACCATATGCTCTCCTAAACTTAGCCTGAGAGAGCTACATGCAAACACAGGTAGCTCTGCCTGGGCTCGATTGTCTGTAGGCTAAAAGTGCAGTTGACGTTCATGCCGCCGAGCTCGCGCTGCACCCTGACCTTGGAGCCTTGACCTTTGCCTTTGAACATGTAAACAACCCTGAAAGCTTCAGCGCGCTTGGCTGGAGCGATCGGAGCATGAGACTTTAGCTAGTCGGCGCGGTGGGAGTCTGAGAGCTGCAGAGCCGCTACAAGTGCCATGTTGCTGTCAACGTTGTGTGAAGCTTGGGTCCTATTCATTTGGGTGGTGGGCGTGAACGACTGTTTTGTTGCTTTTGCACGTAGCTCATGCCTTATCATTAGGTGCTCCTGGTCGTCCGAATATTTCACCGCGTTGCCTCGTAGGGGCCGAGCATCTCAGCACACACTACACAACTCAGACTCTCAAAATAGATACAAAGAATGTATAGTACATAGATTTGGAGCCCAAATATCTACTGAGTGGCTACAATAATCCTAAACCCTATAAATTTTGATCCGATACAAACTCCAACTCTTGAGACCTTAAACCCTTAAACCCCTAACCTTACTTCCTAAACCCCTAAACCCGAAGCCTAATACTACCTAGGATAAAAGAATCCGACTCTAGAAACTCTAGAAGAAAGGGGCGCCTGCGCTGAAGCCAATTGGATCCTTGGAGCCACCGCATAGTATACTACTATTTGCTTAAGAATCCTCCAAAAAATAAGAATTATAATCCCTATATTATCCCTATAAGGAATATTTTTTGGGGGGGTTCTTAAGCACATAGTAGTATAGTATAGTATAGGAGAGGCCTGCTATATGGGTAGTTGTCAACCTGATGGCCCCTCATTGGGTACCCTAAATACTAGGTGCCGTAGTATATGAAGGACCCAAAAAGGGAGCATAATTTTGACAACCACCCATATAGATAAACCAATAGACGATAGAGTAGAGTAGAAGAATAGTAGTATGATCTATGAGGATCGTCTCGTATGAGAAACAACAAACCATCAAGACGATAGTATAGTAGAGTAGAGTATAGTATAGGAGAGGAACGCCTCTTATGGGAGTTCCGAAAATTACGGGTACCTTGTTAGGGTATTATTTCAAAACGCAGAACCATAGTATAGTATACTGTATATGTATGTATATACATATGTATATATATATATATATAGATGTATATACAGATACGACTAAGTGTGTACTGCAATGCAGCGCAATGTCACGTATACGTATAGGTGTATGTATACATGTGCTCTACAGGTATGTGTCTGTCTGTCTGTCTGTATGCATGGTATGCATGTGTGTATGCAAGCCAGTGTGGAGGTCTTTTTTTGCAGTGGAGTGGAACGCAGTGTATCTTTATGTGTGTGTGTACTCACATAAAACGGCAGATACTTACACATACACACACGCATATATACATATATATATATATATGTACTATGTATTTAGATACATGTAACTGTATATGTATACATACGTACGCAGTATACTAAATTGTCGGCATTTCGCTCCATGAATGTGAACTGTGCGAGCAAGTTTACACGTTTGAATCCTGTCCGCGCAAGGGACAATTTCACCTGGACCTGGATTTACTGATGTTTCGTTCAGCGATGCAGCAGGCAAAATCAGTGTGTCTACACACACACACACACACACACACGCGCGCAGATGTATTTATATGTAGGAGACATTTTAAACACATAAGAAAATGCATAAGTAAACACATACATTATGCATGCATACGCCTGCATGTACATGCAGGCCTGAACACTCATGTGTATGTATCTATGTATGTGTGTATGTACGTGTATGTGTATATATATATACATACACATGCATTTGCGTATTATATAGCCGCAAATGCTCATGATTCAGGGATCGTATGTGCCATGATATCCGGTGATATCCGGGTAGACTTGCCGGAGTTTCGGATGGAAGAGAGAGGTTTGGTGTCGGGGCTTGTGGTGACAAAGGAAGGCCTGCTGAAGATACTCGCACTTTGGGCAGGTTGGGAGCTTCAGTTGGTTGGCAGCTTGATAGGGTTGTGGTTTTCGGGATTTCCCTGGGTGCAAAAAGTGACTAAAAGGATCTGCAGCGTGTGGAGGTCTTAGTAATTTGGGGCGACGGAACCTTGGCTATGGATCAAACGAAAAGCTTTCAGCGCTAGCCGCATCTTTCTGGCTCCAGTATGACTTTTGTTACTGCTGATATGCAGAGGACTAGGTGATTAGAACATCCGTCAGGCTCTTTTCGCGCACATCAAAGCTCCATGCGGGGCTGTTCCAATTAGCAGGGACTTTGAGGGGGCCAAAGCAGTACGTACATGTTTTACCACAGCACCCGTCTGTAGACATTTGGAACAGCTCATACATCGCACGCCCTGCATAGTCTTTCGATTCTCCAAGAACTGTGGCCCCCGGTTCCTGCCATGACTGCCTTGGTGCCGGAGCCGGCGCGGTTCTGAGCTGCTGTTGTGAGAACTGCGCTGTGCCCAAACCTCTAAACATCTTAGAACGTGGTGTGGTCATGGTATTTCGGTTGAGTTTTGGTATACATGGGTCGATTGGGAGCACGGGGGTGGTTCTGCTGCTGTCGAGCACCTTCCACAGATTGCGTGTGTTTGCGGAGCCCAACTCATGCAAGACCGCTCAAGAAGCTCCTGGAAGTGTCTTGAGGCCCCGACCATCAAGAAGATCCAGATACCGGAAAAGGAAGTCGACGAAAGCTCAGCTTGCTTGTTTCGTGCAGAGAACAACTTAGCATGTCGAGGAACAGGACTCGCATGTGCATGATTGAACATGCCAGCAGTGTTCACAGGGCTTGTAGTCATGGTATGTCATGGTCCAGTTCATACATCTGTTACCGTGCGGCGGTAGTGGTGGTCTTGGAGCGCCAGCACTTGTACGGCTTGTCCCTGGAGCTAATTGTGCAACCTTCATCCACGCCCGCCGTATTTGGCACAGAACGAAGCTGCTTTGAGTAGCTGTAGAAGTCTGAGGCAGACATAGTCATGCCTGTGCTGGCACTGCAGGCCGGAGATGAGTCTTCCGAAGATGAAGATGAGGAAGCAAGGCTGCAGAAGGAGCGGCAGCAAAAGCAGGATGCATACCGACAGAAAACCATCGACGTGGAGCTTGCAAAGCTCACTGGCATCAAGGGTGTGCCCGTGCCAAACCGGCCGGCACCGCCGCAAAGTCCAGGAAGAACTAAGAAGGCAATCCCTAACGATTTCCTGGTTGCCAAGCCGAAGTCGGCGCTAGAGCGGACATTGAACAGCACATTGGGAAGAGCCCTAACCATCTTCGTAACCGTGGTAAACTTCATTGTGCTGCTTTGGATGACGACAATTTGGAACTCCCCACAGATGTGGCTGTCTGGCCAAGCCTTGCCGGTCGCTACCTTAACCTTCCTAGTCGGCACACACTTCTACACTGCCGTCCCAGTACTCGCCGGGTACTCCGGGCTCATGGTCCCGGAAACTGGTGTAGATTGGAAGATCTACTTCGTGCTTTATCGCATGTGCTACTTCACCTCTGTGCCTAGCATCGTCTTGATGTACTTCGGACCAGGGGAGCGCCTGGCCTTCGGGGAGTCCGAGGGGGGACTGGAGGACATCAGCCTCACGGAGTTGACCCTGGGCTCCTACAAGTACTTCCGGGCCTTCGATGGCTTTGTGGCCCTCAACTTGACCAAGGGCATCACCGAAACCCTTGAGAAGACAGTTCACAACCGGAATGTCCCCAGGCTTAGTCGCTACCGAGATGCTGAGATTGTGAACAACAGGGAGCCTTTCAGCAACGAGGAGGAGCCCACCGTTCCGCCTGGTTTCATGGAGACCTACCGCATTGCTCCGGTGTTCCTCCAGTGGGCTCCCTGCACTACACGATATAGGATCTCTGCCGGATGCTTGAATCAGAATCAGGTGGTGGGTTGGGCCGTGGCCACATCCAGGGCCCTTTGCACCAACTTGCGAATGGTCAGCTGCCGCGTGCAGGATCCCCTGCTAGAACCGGTCTATCGCTGCTCCACCAACGCCACAAAGGGTCGCGAGTTCAAGGGGACCATCAATGGCCTATGTGGCAGGAGCATCCCTGCTCCCAACCCTCAGGTCATCGATGAGCTCTCCGCACTTCTCTTGCTGGATGGCTGGCCGGAAAGCCGATACTTGTTCAGGAACTTAATTTAAGTTACCATCATGAGGAAACCATATTATTTACTACAGATCCCTATTATGGTAATTTATAAGTTTAAATCCCATCACAAGAGCCCAGGATTGCCCAATGCCTCGCATGGGTGGTACGACGTCTGGCCAGAGCCCTGTGTTTCCAATGCCGAAGCCTGCAATTCGCATTGGGCGCTCCTCGAGAGTATGGGCTCCTGGGTCGTCTCTATTCGGGAGTTTCCGAAACTTAGGGGTACCTTAGAGTTCCTTGAAAGGGATCCTTTAAGGGTTCCTATAAGGGATCTATAGGGTTTAGGGTTTAGTGAGTTTCCGAAACTTAGGGGTACCTGATTTTCGGGTCCTTGTAATAAGGATCGTACTATTTAGGGTACCATATTAGGGCCCCCTGTTTTCGGAAACTCCCATTCGTTGGTACCACACTACTGCGTCTTTTTTCCAGTCGCTGGGGATGTCAGTTCACGATACATCGGCCGGGGAACCCTATATAAGAGTATGCTCGTATACCAACAGTTCAGACACTTCCATAATTATTTCAGAGGTTAGAAGCTTAAGAGGGTCTTGCTCTTGCTCGTTTTGGGGATACCAAGGCTTAGCCTTTAGCTGCATCACCGTGGCTTTGGCGGTGCTGCC